TGCGCAGTGAATGGCACATTTTTTCTTAAGGTGGGCTTTTAGCCCCGTTGTACCCTATATATATATATATATATCATTATTGTGATGGGGGACCCTGCGGTAAGTCATAGCCCCGGGGCCCAGTGCGGTCTTAATGCGGCCCTGCACAGAGACACTAAATGTCTGACTAGTTTTGAGAACATCACTAAAGAGCAGATAATGAATCAGAAGTCTCACACATTCACAGAAAACAGCTCTTCTGCCTCGTAAAATAAGGTGGAAATGACTGAGAAACGAGGAATGGTTCATTAACAGTCGACATTATTAATGTGTGAATCTAATAAATGAGAATTAACTGTGTTTAATGAAGAAGTATCTTAAATTAGAATGAATCCTGGTCCAGGTAGAAAATGTAGCTTATAGAAATGTTGTTTTGAAATGTTTCAAAAGTTTTCTTGTTGCAATTGTAATGCTATTAAAAGGTTACAAAAACGTTTCTTACAACATTCTACTAACTATATTTTTGGCCAAATTATAGTTATTTGAATTTTTATATTTAATATTCTAAGAACGTTAAAATGGCAATTTTTCTTGTGATTGTAACGTTATTTAAAAATGTTTGTTACAACGTTGTACTAGCGTTATTTTCATACGAAATGTAACATTATTTGAACGTTTATTTTTAATATTCAAAGAACGTTAAAATGTCCAGTTTTCTTGTTGAGATTTCAGCGTTATTTAAAGGTTGCACAAAATGTTTCTTACAACGTTCAGTCAGGTACAACATCATAAAAATGTTATGAGAACTTGTGTCAAATATTAATAAAGTTCCATAAACATTACTTTAAGAACGTTAAATATAACTTTAAAAAAAAAACATTGAACGCTGTGAGAACGTCTTTTTTATCACTTTTTATTAATTTAACACATCCTTGCTGAATAAAAGCATTCATTTCTTTCAAAAATAAAAAATAAAAATAAAGAAAGAAAAAAATTTACTGACCCCAAACTTTTGAACAATATTGTTAGAAAAGATTTCTTTTTTGAATAAATGCTCTTCTTTTTAACTTTTTATTCATCAAAGATTCCTGAAAAAAAAAAGTATCACAGGTTCCAAAAAAAATATTAAGCAGCAAAACTGATAATAAATCAGCATATTATACTGATTTCTGAAGATCATGTGACACTGAAGACTGGAGTAATGATGCTGAAAATACAGCTGCGCATCACAGAAATATATTACAGTTTAACAGATATTCACATAGAACACAGCTGTTTGAAATGGTAATAATATTTCACAATATTCCTGTTTTTTTCTATATTTCTGCAGATTTTCTTTTCATCTGAGAGTGATATGAGTGTGAATCTACTGCCCTCGTGTGTCTGCTCATGCCAACACACATTTATAATGTTGGATTAAAAATATACACGACTATTACAAGAATTATAAATATTAGAATAAATGAAATTAAATTTATAATCTTTTATATGGTTTTATTTGCTGTTCTTCGAACATTCATGCGGGTCACACACTAACCTAGTTAACCCAGTCAGGATTACAAACCCACATCATGCAGAATCAGACACTAACTCTCATTCTTCTCTTTGAAAACTGATCTGAACAGACTTTATGAAGAGCGTTTACACGCAGGCTATGAAATAAATGACATATTAATGTCTCAGACAGGTGATTTTCATATAAAACATCACACAGATCTGAAGAAACATTGAGGTCACAGAAACACAAATCAAGCCATCAGAGCTTCATCTGTCACCACAAATATGAAGATTTTAATACGCATTATTAATATCAGTGAGTCTCTTGCTGAAATACTGCACTAAATAATCATGCAGGTGAAACCGCTGTTCCCAGTTCAGTATTAAATAGAGAAAATTAGCTCACACACACACACACACACACACACACACACACACACACACACACACACACAACACACACACACACGCACACTCTCTCACACTCACACACACACTCATACAGACACACTCTCTCACTCTCACACACACACAGACACACACTCACTCACTCACACACACACAAACACACACACACACACACACAGAGACACAAAACACACAGAAAATAATTAATAAATGCAATTATTAATAAATAATTAATAATATAATGGCAAAAAAAAATGATACAATACTATCCAGGCGGTTTCACTGTAACCATGGAAACATTTACTATTCGCTGTATTGTATATAATTCATATCTGTGTGAATTGAGCCGCTGTTCCTTTAAGACGCGCTGAGCCCTGATTGGCTGTTCACAGGCACGTGCTGCGTGACAGCCAGCGGCGCGTTCATCAATGATGGCGGCGGATCCAGCGCGAGCGTGGAGCGACGAGCAGCTGAAGAGTGAAGACCTGCCCAAAAGAGATCTGATCACATTCATCCAGGAGAACGCAGCGCACTCGGTAGCGTTACACACGACAGCCTTCACCGCCAAACGCTCCCGGAGTCACGCGCATGGCATCACATCTGTTCACATACTCATGCTGCACGTCTTTTATAGCCAGACCCTGCGTTTCATTCGGAAGGGCTCAACCCTATGCCCTAATATCCCTTCAAAGGGTTTACCCTCCGGAGTGAGAGCTTCGAAGGGTGTAGGGGACTAAACAACTGTTTCTTGAAGTGCCCTTCTGCGTCAACAGCACGTGCCCACACGGAGGCGCCGGCATCACGCAAAGAATCTGCGCAAAGGATCATGGGAGCCCGAAGTGTCCATCAGTTGTACCCTTCGAAATCCTTCATTCCGAAGGGCCCTTTGAAGTGGCCAGTTTTGAGTGCCCTTCAGAGGGCGATAAATCCCGTTTGGAACGCACCGTTAGATGTGCATAGCAATGCATTACAATTTATATAAATATATACATTAATTTAATACATTAGTTTTACTAATATATCTAATTTAGTTATATATTTGATGTACATTAATTAATACACACATTAATTAAATGTACAACTTAGTAGCTTTATACAAATATGTACATTAATGCTTTAATTAAATATATATTTTTGTATTTACATAACAATGAAATTTAAGTTAAATATGCATGTTAAAAGAAGTGTTAGCATTTTATGCTATTGTGAAAAATATAATATATATATATATATACAGTGTCAAATCAAAAAAGTTATTGATTAAAAATTATATTTATTTATATTCATATATTAAGCAATGAGTAAATGAATTGAATATAGAATTTGATTTGGCAGTGGCAATATATCAAATGTCTTTCTTTCTTGATTTCCAGTTTCTATCTGAACACAAACTTCTTGGAAATATCAAGAATGTGGCAAAAACAGCCAAGAAAGAGCAGCTCATTGAGGCGTATAACCAGCTGTTTGAGAGCAAGGTAACAAACACACTCAGCATGTGCATGTGAAGGATGATGATTGTGAAGTTTCCGTGATTGCTGTGTGTTTCTCAGAGGTTTAAGGGCACAGACGTGGATGCTGTGACTGAACAGGTTCAAGCTGCTAAAATCAGCGACGCTCCCAAAGAAACCAAGATGGAGCCGGTGGACGAGGTACGACACACATCATTAGAACAATTCTCCTGTTCACTCGTCACATGTCAATGTTTGATTGTTGGTTGGTTGGTTGATCTTCAGGGGCCTCCGAAGTTCACAAAGACCATCCTGAAGAAAGGAGACAAGGCCAACTTCCCCAGGAAGGGAGACACTGTGAGCTGCTGGTACACTGGGACGCTGGAGGACGGGACTGTGTTCGACAGCAACATCCCTGCGAGTGAGACACGCATATGACACGCTAACCTCAACACACATATGACACGCTAACCTCAACACACATATGACACGCTGCTCTGATTGGCCAGCTGACACACACACTGACCTCAACACACATGACACGCTAACCTCAACATACACGCTAACCTCAACACGCTAACCTAAACACACATATGACATGCTAATATCAACACACATATGACACGCTAATCTCAACACACATGACACGCTAATCTCAACACACATGACACGCTAATCTCAACACACATGACACGCTAACCTCAACACGCATATGACACGCTAACCTCAACACACACGCTAACCTCAACACGCATATGACACTAACCTCAACACACATATGACATGCTAATCTCAACACACATATGACACACTCACCTCAACACGCATGACAAGCTAACCTCAACACGCATGACACGCTAACCTCAACACGCATATGACACACTAACCTCAACACACATGACACGCTAACCTCAACACGCATATGACACGCTAACCTCAACACGCATATGACACGCTAAACACACATGACACGCTAACCTCAACACGCATATGACATGCTAACCTCAACACGCATATGACATGCTAACCTCAACACACATATGACACGCTAATCTCGACACACATGACATGCTAATCTCAACACACATATGACACGCTAACCTCAACACACACGCTAACCTCAACACGCATATGACATGCTAACCTCAACACACTTATGAAACGTTAACCTCAACACACACGCTAACCTCAACACGCATATGACACGCTAACCTCAACACACACGCTAACCTCAACACGCATATCACATGCTAACCTCAACACACTTATGAAACGTTAACCTCAACACACACGCTAACCTCAACACGCATATGACACGCTAACCTCAACACACACGCTAACCTCAACACGCATATGACACTAACCTCAACACACATATGACATGCTAATCTCAACACACATATGACACACTCACCTCAACACGCATGACAAGCTAACCTCAACACGCATGACACGCTAACCTCAACACGCATATGACACGCTAACCTCAACACACATATGACATGCTAACCTCAACACACTTATGACACGTTAACCTCAACACACACACTGACCTCAACACACATGACACGCTAACCTCAACATACACGCTAACCTCAACACGCTAACCTAAACACACATATGACATGCTAATATCAACACACATATGACACGCTAATCTCAACACACATGACACGCTAATCTCAACACACATGACACGCTAACCTCAACACGCATATGACACGCTAACCTCAACACGCATATGACACGCTAACCTCAACACACACGCTAACCTCAACACGCATATGACATGCTAACCTCAACACTGGTTAAGACAGCTGACGTGCTATGATTTCTGACAGACAGTTCACTCTCCTGTGGTGTGACCCTGTTCCCCTCACACACAGACACACACACACACACACACACACAACGCGTTACTCTGCGCTGCGCAAAACTCTGCATTTGAACAGTCAATAGCAAATACTTAAACTACTAACAAATACTTACACTCGCTGATTCAGAAGCGCCAGATTGTCATAGCAAAGTCGGAATTTACCCTTTTTTTTTTTTTTTTTTGA